TCCTTCCTTATAGCTGAGTAGTTCTCCACTGTATAAAAGTATTATGTATTTCCAACTACTCTGTAGCTGATGGACAAGCTACCCTCATTTTTTTCTGGTTCCCTGTCACATAGAGCATTATTTTCTCATCTTTGACCTTCAGTCCATATACCCTCTTTCAGGTTAATTATATTTCTTATATAGACCATCCTGATGGACCCTATCTCCTGATCCGCTCTTAGCGTATCAAGGCCATCCATGTTAGCGATTATGGTCAACTTTCTCTGCCTCAACTCTGCCATGCTATTTTTCTGCCATTGGTTGTCTGCTTTTCCCCTTCATTCCTTTGCCTGCTCTGTTCAGTGAACTTCCTCTGTCAGTGTTCTTGAAACCATGGTCTTTTTTTCTCTCTCTCTGGAATGTTCTTCAGTACTTTTTGTAGAGTTTTGATTGGTGGTCATGAACTCCCCCAGTTCCTCTTTGTCATGGAAGCATCTTGTTTCCACTAATTTTGAAAGATAGTTTTTCAGGGTACATCAATCTGGTTTGGAAGTTATTTTCTTTCAGGGCTTAGAATACCTCCCTCCAAGCTCTTCTAGATCTGATGGTTTATGTTGAGAAGTCTGTCATGATTCCGATAGGCTTTCCTTTATAGGTGATCTGTTTCTTTTCTCTGACAGCTTTTAACATTCTGTTCTTGTGTTGAATTTCTAGGATCTTGATTATTTTATGTCTGGGTGTAGCTCTGTTTTGGTTGTAGTTGGCTGGAGTTCTGTATGCCTCATATATCTGAATATCATTTCCTTTTCCTATGCTTAGGAAGTTTTCTTTATTTCTGTGAATAGCCTTTGTATTTCATTTGTGTTTACCCCTGCTTCTTCATTCACATTTTTTATTCTTAAGTTATGGATCCTCTTGTCATCTTCTAGCCTTTGTATTGTTACTTCCTGGTTCCTTGTTATTTTTAAGAGATCTTTCCTTTCACAATCACACATTGCAAACCTGTCTTCAAGTTCTGATAATCTATCTTTAGTTTCTTTCAAGCAGTTTTGCCAGCTTTCAATGGAGTTTTTAATATCCTGGTAGTCTCTTTGAATCTGTTTCATGTGTTTTAGATTTTTTTTATATTCTTCATCAAAAGTTTCTCTCCTTTTTCTATGTCTCTCCATTTTTCTATCTGTGTCTTCTTGAGAGGTACTTATCATTTCTTTTATTATTTCTCTTGTTTTACTTGTACTCAAATTTCTGTTTTTAGTTCTTTAATAATGTCATGAAGATAATCCTTATGTCAGATGCTGCTTTTTCAGTCACCACAGGTGTGCAACCCCTGATTTCTTCTGGGTTTACCTCCCCCAAGTCAGTACTGTTTGTGTTGGGGGCTGAAGATTTCCTTTTGTTTCTTCCTCTTGTCATGTTTATGGTTTCCTCCAGACGAGTGGACAATGGGGATCCCTGGCACTTCCTGTATTGGCCATGATTACTCTGAAGCGTGCTGGCTGGGGATTGCTGCCCTCCCCAGTCTGCTGATGACTATTTAAGTATAAGCAGGGGCGGGGCAGACTGGCCCCTCCCTTCTGAGCTGATCAGGCTCTGGGAGTCTTCACCACATGTGTGCCATGTGGATGGAGTGGTTAGGTATAGATTCAGAGAAACCTCATCTTTTGCCTTTGGATGGTGCACAGAGGTGGGACTCAGTCTGAGAAATTCTCACCAATCTGCTCAGTGCTAGGAGTGGCTGACTGAAGCCACTGCACTTCTGGTACTGGATTTACCTTGCTCAACTCCAAAATGCCACCCAGCTTCCTTGCCCACTCCCATGGGAGAACTGATTTCTGCACACTCACTGTGAGCTGGTACACATCTCCAAGCCAGATCTCCAAGCCAAGTGCCGCTCTCCGTTCCGCTGCTCCCCTCCATGACCATTTCCTCCTACCGAGGCCCTCAGTCTTGCCAACCCTGACTTCACCTCGATCACACGTCTCCAGATTCCAACAGCGTTTCCCACACAATGGGACTGGTTCCAGTGACATCGAATCTGGCTACAGCCTTCCGTCATGATTTTCGGTTCTTTCTTTCTTTCTTTCTTTCTTTCTTTTTTTTCTTTCTCTTTAGTTTCTTCCTGGGTCAAGAGGATCTGTCTCCCTCCCTCTGATCTTCTAGGATGTTTTATTCCAGCATCTTAGGTGATTCTCTCAGAGAGACTCCTATTTTGCTGCTTACTGATCTGCCATCTTCTAGAACCCCAATAAAGGTGATCTTTACTAAGACCCACAGCACCTTTGACCTCAGCTTTTCTGTGAATAAAATTAGAGAACTGAATGAAGCATTTCTATGGATTGGTTCAACCCCAAGTCATGAGAGTTCTCTGCTGTCTAGGTCTTGGCTGTCTTTCTAATTCTAGAGAAGCCATCTAGCTGGCAAACAAACAAGATCTAAAATGTCAGAGTGTAGACTCTTGGGCTATGTGTTAGTCTGTATCTGCCTCTGACTTAATACTAGCATAGAAGCATCAATTCATTGGAGTAACATTTGTTGCTCTGATATATTCTCCTACTTCAGTACATATTTGCTAACTTAAGAAAGGAAAATCCCAGCATTAAACTCATCTGTCCTCCCACCTCCCCCATTAACATCTCTCACTCCTACCCCAGTTCCCCTGGCTTACTCTTCTCCTCAGGCTGCAATGAGCATGTTCTCCGACCACCTTGTTCTAAGACCTCCAGTAGCAAATCCAGAAAACAAACCAAGCTGTCAGGAACCTGTTGTTGGCATCCTTTGGGGTACCTGGGAGAGCACCTTAAAAAGTGGTTGGCCCTACGTGGTGACTGAGAAGAAGCTGGCCTAATCTCCACCCGCCCCCCAGGAAGCCTCCTCCATCTTTTAGACTTCTGGGAGAGGCACTTGATGCTTCCCCACTCTCTCTCTCCTTATTCTTCTACCCTAACGTGCAGGCAAAGGGTTTCTTGTTCCTGAAAAGGAACCTTTGCTCTCTTTCAGTGGAGAAGTGATATCTTCCATGGACTCCCTCGGCTTTCACATCCTGCTTTCTTTTTCTTTCTACAATGAGTGAAAAAACAATGCCAGTCCTCATTCTTCCAGTCTTGGAGGAATGCTGATAGTTCAATGATAACATCAGGAGTAGCTATGATAAAAGTCAATGGCAAAACCTGGGCATAGTGGCACACTCCTTTAATTCCAGGACTTAGGAAGCTGAGGCAGGATGATCCCTGTAAGTCTGAGGCCAGCTTGAACTACATAGCAAGATCCTATCTTAAAAAAAAAGTCAATAGCAAAGATCCTCAGTGCCAAGTAACAAAATTCAAATTCTTCCTATTCAATCTAGGAGATCCACATTCCCATGTGTCCCTTATGCTACACACTATAAGAGTCCAAGGGAATGGAGCTAACACTACTGCTAGGAGGGGGAGTTTTAGTATTCTTAGTGACATAATGACTCAAGAGACATAAAAATTTGGCCTTCAAAAGAGGTTATTCCCAACAATATTTATTATTAAAGATTCAGGTTTCCCCTACTGAGTTAAAATACCACTTTCCTATCATATTTTGAAAAACTTGTTCATTTTTGCCTCAGGAAACCCAAAAGCAACACAGCAGTTATTTGCTGACAACAGGAGGGGATCTGCCAAAGACTGGGCTCTGAGGACTGAGAACACCCACCTCCCTGCAGATGCATAGTGAGCCAAGTCTGGCACAGAGCATGTCTTTGCAGGACAGCTGTAGAAGGAAAAAAAAAACAAGCAAATGGGCAAATGTAAATCTCAGCAAAGCTGGTGTAGTAGAATATTAGAGGTTCTCATGAGCTTCAAGCAGAAAGGACGTTCAGCATGAATGACCCCAGTGTGCTGGATATGGATAAAATATGCAGGATCTGAGCCCAGACTGCTAAGATTCCTTTCATGACTCACCAGATTAAGATAAAATGGCTGATACTGTTTGTCTTAAGTTTTTATATTTAAATAATTTCAGTGACTTCAGACCCTTCAGTCCCTCCTTTGGGGTACTGATTTTAGGACCACACACACTGATATCAAAATTCACAAATGCTCAAGTCCCTTTTGTAAAATGGTGTATTTGCATATGACCCATATACATCTTCCTATATATTTTAAACCACCTCTAGATTGCCTGTATTACCAAAAACAATGAGATGCTAGGTAAACAGTTCGTATATTTCATGGTCTAGACAATAACAAGAAAAAATTCTGTATGTGTTCAATGTAGGCACAATATTTTTCCAAATATCTTCCATTTGCCATTTGGAAAATATTTCCACAGATATGGAGAGGGGCAAACTGTATTTTTATTGCAGTTTTTAAGATCCATTTTGGGGAATACTGAGGGCATTTTCCCTTAGTGTACTTTTCCAAAATAACTACTCAGTGGGTAATCATCATGAGACTGCTCCCTTCAGCGCTGTGCTCTGGCTTACTTAGAATTCCACTTACCCAACCATCAGGGTGGAAATTCATCTCCCAGGTTCACCCTGATCTGAGTAGACTGCATCTTGGAGGAAACGAAGCACTTAGGAGCCCTTGCTGCTCCAATTAGTCAGCAGTTTTGTTTTGTTTCTTTTTAAACTCGGGGAATCATTTGGGCTTTCTTTAGGTCTTCCCTCCACTAGAACATCCAAAAATCTGTCCTTTTCGTGCACAGGGGTATTTTTCAGGCACAGTCCAGTTAACTAAAAAGACCAGAAGACCTCGATCTTCAGGGTCATCTTCATTTAAAATAGCCTATGCTTTTTATCAGAACACCAGGCTGTGGGACTTGCCCAGGTACTGCTGTTGAAGAATCCCCCAGAACCTCCCTGTGCTGACCCCATGACACTACTTGGCAGTCTAAAAGTTAAATCGTACAATTAATCATTTCTGGAAGGTTTCCTCTCTGCTCCTGGCTTACTGGAGTAAGGAAGTCTACATAAATTCCTTCTCAATCCAAGATCCATCTGCAAAGCTTTAAATCCCGGGTCAAGGAGAAACTGTCCTTCTTCTGATGAGCAGGTGGTCTTTGAATCAGACCGGTACACGCCAAGGCCTCTGGAGCTGCTGCCACACCGCACTGACCGCTGGGACACAGGTGACAGCCGCAGGTTCGGCTGGGTCCAGAACGCTCGGCCACCAAGGGCGCATCCTGCCAAAACTCCCACCAGACCAGGTATGTGAGTCCCCCCAATCCTCCCTCCACGCGGTGATCTCCTGAAAGCCAGTTTCATGCCCATTAAAGCACAAGCTGGCAGTGTCTGCATCCTCCTTGTGTTTCCTCTTAGAGACCTCTGTCACACCTGGTGAGTGGCATCTGTGCTATTGCCAGATAAATAGTATTTGCACTATGGCCCCATCTACCTATGAAACTCTAGCTCATGGGTGTATGTAGAGTGAAGATGTGCTGTCTAGCATCTTGCTGGTCAGGAGAATGGCAATGTTCAGAAGATGTAAATCTTGATGCTCAAGGAGAGACAAAACCATGAAATCAGGACCTGTGATTGCAATGGCATGCAAACACCAAAATAACACACAGGGTTTGGAGGCCGATTTACTTACATCCATGGTCACTGATCAGGATCATTCCCACATCAGGCCCTGATCTGGGTGGTCCAGGGATTATGTTAGATAAGCAGAATAGTTCGTCATTTGGGGATTGGTTCTTGCAATATGTATCATAGTGACCAGCCATTTCTAAGAGACAGAAGCAACCAGAACTGGAACAGAAACAGGAACTATTAACAAGTTGCATGTAATAGTCCAGGCTCTTCCTAAACTGCCATTTAAATAAGTTTTCAGTTTAAATTTGAATGATTTAATCTTTAGAAAGAATTACACAGCCAATTCTTTCTTGAAAACTGGAAACATTATAGTCTTACCTTGCATACTGTCTTTTTAAAATGGCTTCCACCTCAAGCACTGAAACAGAAATCTGCCTGTAACTCATTGAAGTCTCTAATGGTATTTTGCCTCTAATTGTGAGTTTACTTGTGGAAGGTCCAGGGTGTCCTTAAACCTTTGGGGTGTTAACAATTTTGTATTTTGCAAGAACTAAAATAAGACTCCATTGAGAATATTTCTCCACCTTCTCTTCCTACCCAACCAAGCTCCTTTTTGGTTTTTGCCTTTGTTTTTTTCCCATTCTTTGTTATTTTCATTTTCCCCTTTCTAGGGTGCCATAGTAGATATCTGAGGTTTGTTTGGTTATGAAGAACCTGATCCTGTTTATGACCCTAGATATAAAAACACACAAAGCTGTATTTTCTAGTTAGGTGATTACATGTACAAATACATGCACACAGAAAGCATTAGGAAGACCACAATCTGCCTTGCAAATTAAAGAAGATAGATTTTTCTCTGTGTCTATGTATAGGTGAGTGGGTGGGTGGGTATGTGTATATGGAGAGAGGAAAAAGAGGCAGAGTATTTCTGTTTGCTACAAAATCACAAAATGAATTTAAGAATATGTTTCTCAGATTTTTGCATTCAAAAGAAATTACCTGTGCATCTTGTTTTTATGCAATCTCTAATTTGAGAGGACTAGATGGGGCCCTATGTCTTGTATTTCTAACAGACTTCTAGACGCCACCACTGTGGGGATAACAGATTGAGTAGCAAGGATTTGGGGATGCTCTAGCACAGTGATTCTCAAAGAAGGGTCTTGGGGACAGCAGCAGCACCTGGAAGACTTGTTGCAAGTGTGAATTTATTGAGTCAGAATTGCAGGGTTAAGACATAGTAATCCATGTTTCAAGAAGCACCCTCACCTCCACGATTCTCATCCACACTGGAGGTGAGACTCTGAACTGCTGCCGCCGCCCTTTGCCAATTTACAGAAGAGGAAAATGAAGCCATGGGAATTGTTTGACTTACCCAGTGTCACACCGCTTGCTAGCCACAGAGCCAAAATGAAATTTCAGCTCCCTTGATTTCCTGACCAGTGACACTTCTCCAGAGAAAAGGACTTCTCAGCAGTATAGTTTTAGGGCCATGTTCATACCTTTCTAAATAGTCTGTGGCAGTTTGGATTGCCAAAGTCACTCTTATTCTAAAAGACAAGAGTGATAAACTATGAAATGGAGAGAATCTGACGAACACATGATAGGCGGCTTGTGAAGGATGTGCCAGTCAGTTAAAAAAAAATAAGATTGAACTGGGCATGGATTCAATTCCTTCAGCTCCCCCAGTCTTATAGATTCCAGACAAGGTAGGAGGGAACATTTCTGAGCCAAAACCAGACCCTGGTGCTCTCCAGGGAAACGCTGGGCACCAATCCATGGATTTCAAGACTTTCTTCTCCTGTCAGAAAGCTGCATGTCTCTGGGGAGCTCAGATCTAGGGACATGCTTTACTTCTGAAGTGCTTATGAAGGCTCCTGGTTGTGGTAGCTTTCTTACATTGGAGAGAGATGAGGAATCTTGGGCATTGTCAGGACTCTGAAGACAGTGACCTGGCCAAGAAACTACCCCCCTGAGGCCTCATTTGGCTGGAAAGGGGACAGTTCTTACTTCCTAGGCCTGGGAAAATGACTCCCTATAGGGCTTTTTTCCCTGAGATGACATCAGAGCCCTCAGAACCAATTTACTCAAATAAACCAAAAGTTCGTTTCTCAGCTGGGACTCTGTCCATCACTCCAGCTAGTTTTGGGATCTCTTTCCTAGCACCTCCTTGTCCCCCAACACCCCTTCTCACAGTGCACACTGACAGGGTCAACACCTAAGTGTGTCTCAACTCACCTTCTTTCTACTTGCCTTGTGCTGCCCCTGCTCAAACTGCCTGCCTCTCGGATATGTATGCAGAGAACATTGGCACTGAAGGTCTTCTCACCAGTCCTCCTTCCTCTACGAGGCTACCAGAGAAGTCCTCCTAAAATGGAAATCTACCTTCCACAAGTCTCTTTCTTTGTCCTCTACCTCGCCCACACTCCAAGCAATGGTACTCCTGTCCCCACTGTTCTCAGTGCAATCCTGAGCTGCAGTGTACTATAGTTCTGTAACTGCTCTGTTATATTCTGCCCTGGATCTTTGTAGACACTTTTTTTCTGCAGTTCCCCCTCCCTGGATCACTCTATCTTCCCTCAGACTGGGACAGGGAATCCCTTGGTCAAACTGCTCCAGGCCAGCAAGACTACCAAAGAGATCTACTTACTACTTGCATGGCTTCCTTATAACTTTTATGTACCTCTTATACCTCAATTTCCCCAAACTGAAAATGAAGACTACTCTAATATCTACCTCTTAGAGTTGTATTAAAAATTAAATAAGATCCCAAGCATGGTGGCCTTCACCTATAATCCCAGCACTCAGGAGGGTGAGACAGGAGGCTCGCTGCAAGTTCAAGGGCAGCCTGGGCTACAATAGTGAGTTTAAAACAAGCCTGAATTACAAAGCGAGACTGTGTCTCAAAAAACAAAACACGGATTAAATGAGATATAGTCATCTCTCAATATTCATGGAGACTAGTTTCAGGACCTCTGCCAAATGCCAAAATCCATGATGCCCAAGACTCTTCTCTAAAATGATGTGGCATTTACACATAGCCTAATCACATCCCCATCTCCTTTAAATCATCTCTAGACTAATAATAACTAATATGATGCAAATGTTACATGAGTCACTATTATATTGTATTGCTCAGGGAATAATGACAGATGTTCTATACATGTTCAGCACAGACACAATTTTCTCAAATTTTTTCAAACCACAGTTGGTTGAATCCACATTTCAGAACCAGTGGATACAGAGCACCGACTAAAACTAGGTGATTTATGCTCAGCAGTTTCTGATATATGCAAAAATACATTACTTATTACATTATTAATTCTTCCAGGGCACTATTCATTATAGTTTGATGTTGGTAATGTTAAAAAGAGAACCCTTTAGATCAATTAAACTTAGTAGATATATTTGATAATATATAGTAGAGATATAAAATATACCTACTTTAAAACAAAAATTATTAACAAATTAGGCAGTGCTCAAAACAATAACAAGTTTTATGAATTCCAACTAATAACACAGTCAGACTACATATAGGAAAACAGAAGAAAGGTACAGAAACAAATCAATTGGCCATAGCCTAGCCAACACTGGTTACTACTTAACTAGTTAACGGATTCAGCCTGATCATTTAAGTAGCTACAAGGCCTTTTAAAACCAGCCAAAACTCAATGCCTGCAATTTGAGGTCTATGTTGGTTATTCTGTAGTGTTTAAAACTGATATCCAGTCCAAATCTATGACCTGTCACAAAATTTTATTTAACAGTACTTATAATTTTTTCATTTTCTTAGCATTGAGATGTTTTCCCCAGTGGAGGGGGAGGTTCTACACTGCAGTGTATGAGGTGAAGCTTGCCCTGGAACACCTGTCCCAAGAGAGATTTATGTTGAATACTGGCTACCTCACCTTAAAATCTGGGTCCTTAGAAGCTGCAGGCTTCAGGGTAGAAATTACTCAGAGGTAGGCTGGAGTATTAGAAATAAATACATTAAGAATCAGACTCTTTGTACACATGTCTAATGCAGCCAGTGTCCAGGATTCTGATCTGATAAACTTCAATCCTTCCAGTTTACGGCCTGTGATTCCCACAGCTGTCTCTGCTCACTGCCAGATGGGTGTCCAGCAGCACTGTTTTACATAATTGATTTCAACTATGAAGACTTAACTCCTGGTAACCTCTTTAACCTCTTGTGGCCTATGACTTTAGGAAAGAGGAATTTAGGAAACATTCTCTGAGTATCCGCAGTGCTAACTGCATCCGCATGTGTGACCTTTTAAAACTGATCTCAATTTTTAAAGCAGTTTTAGGTTCACACCAAAATTGAGCTGGAGCTGTACAAATTACTCATGTGTTCCCCTCCTACCTCCACACGTACACAGCCTCCTCCACTGCCAACATTCTCTTCCGGAGTGATACTGTTGACACAGTTAATGAACCTGCATTAACACGCTGGTCCCATGCACACCTTAGTTCCAGTCCCTTTGAAGAGGGAAGGGATGCAGACCACCCAGCTGGGCAGGTACCATTGCCTCACTCACTGTGCTGCTTGGTACAGAGGCCTTGAGAAATTACTTTCTGAGATTGATTGGCAAACATGATAATTGATGCAGAACCAGAAGGAGGCAGAACTCAGAGTACCACTGAGTAATATCTCCTCTGTTCAATTTCACAGTGGGGATTTCTGAACCCAAAACATCAAATCTGTGTGGAAATCGAGCATATGGAAAATCATTGGTAAGTAAGATAATTCTGATTAGTTGTATGTGGTATGTTTTTAACTTCTGTCTATGTCTATTTTCCAGTGCAGTGAATAGACACTAAGTGTCCTTTGCACCAATCTGAGGATTATTAGAGAAGCCTAACTGTGGTTCTTTGCTGCTAAAAGCTATCAGTCAGTCCTGCACTGTGCTTTTGTGACACATCATTGGCTGCTTTTCTTTCTTGCCAGAAATTCGGCTTTTAGGCATACAAAAGCTGCAAACCACAGGACATCTCATTCATGAGGAAAAGAACTGGTCTCTAGCATTGGCCCTGCCTGACAAGAATGCCTAATTTCCTGGTGCTGCTTTGGAGTAAAGAGATGTAAAGCCCTCGAGCACCATGTAAACACCAAACAGTAGTATCATAGGCAGCTCTGGCTACTATAACAAAATTACCTACACTAGGGAACTGAAATATCTCCTCACAATCTCAGAAGCTGGGAAGTCCAATATCAAAGTAGATTTGGTGTCTCATGTGGGCTTTATTGCTGGCTTGCAGATGGCTGACTTTTTGCAGTGTATTCACATGACCTTTCTTCTAGGAATACATGAAGATTGAAATCCCCAACATCTTTTTCCTTCTTATAATTCCCATCACAGGTACTCTATCCTCATGACTTCATCTAAACCTAATTATCTCCCAGAGGTCCCACCTCCCAAAACCATCACATTGGAGGTTTGGGCTTCAAACTCATGTGTTTGAGGAACACACAAACATTCTATCCATTACTACTACTCATTTCAGGACAGAGACACCTCTGAGATTTTCTACATCAGGTCAGGTTCTCTGGAAACAGTCTTGGGACTTTAGGTTTGAAATATGAAATGTATATTAAGGACCAACACCAGCGATCAGACAGGGAAGACAGGAACTGAACCCTGATGCTGGTCCAACACTTCCTAGTGGGGATCTCTGGGGATAGTGCCCATCCAGGGCCATCTGAGCTGGAGCAAAATGGCTTTGTATTCCCTCCTCATTCCATCACAGCTTGTGGGTTGCCTCAGGAAGGGTGTGATCTCGGGCAAGGTGGCCCCTCCACCGCTGAGGCACAGTGCACAGTGCTAAGAGCCTTTAGTTACTCATCCTCCCATAACTGGACAGCTTGCCCTTCCTTGAAGATGGATCAAGTGGCAATCTCCAGATCTGTCTTCTCCATCCTCTTCTGGGCGTTGCTTGCCTTGCGAGGTCAGCAGTGATAGAGATAAAGTCAGTTCAGATATCCTGAGCTCTTTCGGTATCTTCTGTCAAAATGCCTAGACGGTGCAATGTGAAGTGTAGAAAAGACTCCAGTGGTTGTCTTGGCTAGTCCCCCAGCCTCACAGAACGAATTGGACCGAAAGGCTAGTGCTTCCCTCCTGGCCTGGGCAGACCTTATCCAGTGATCTCGTTTAGGATTTAGTAAAACCACTCAAAGAGTATGGAATGGGACAAGGAGGGCCCTCCCCCAACCTTGCTCTCAGGGAACTTGGGATGGTCAGACTGTTGACATGGAGGAAAGGTCATCAGACTGTGACAGCTCAGCTCAAACAACTGTCCTGGCTAAACCAAAGATAAAGCTTAAGGGGAAGAGAGTGTTCCATGGCCTTGGATTAATCTGCACCCTCCCACTGCCCACTGCTGTGCCTCTTGTAGGTGAGGCCCTCCCCGGAGGAAGAGACGGGGTGGTATGGATGTGGTTACAAAGAGAAGGCAGAAATAACAAAGAGGAGGAAGAGGTCGTGTTTTCTCTAGGCCTGGAAATAGACTGTGCCCTGCAACATCAAAATTTCATTACCCTGGGTCAGGAAAGCAATCTGGAGCCCACACACCTTAATCTGATTCAGTGCTGACAGGAATCAGAGTTGGAACTAAGGAAAGAGGGGAAAGGAAGGAGGACAAGGACTTCTTCTCTAGAGCTAAGGAGCCCTGGAATATGTTCATGGGCCACTGGCACCGTGGGGAAGGGAGTGCTTGGGAGAGGCCACAAGATGGCACAGTAACTCTGCCCACAATCTTTGTTCAGCTCCTGGGAGGAGCAAGTGAAAATGATGCTCTTTAACCTGGAATTTTTGTGATTTCAGGAATCATAAAATTGATTTGTAGCTCTTGATGGGGTTTGGGGTAGAAGAACAAAGCATACCTGTGTCCTTTGACTGAATAACCCCTGGACTTAGCCCTGATTAAGCCATCAATTCAGTACCTGCTCCCCAGTACTTAGCACCTCCTTTTGGAAAGGCAGGGAGGGGGGGGTTACTAAATGAGTTAAGTCCCACCAGTCTACCACTCGCCACATAATCTTTCTGGAAGAAAGAGACTGAACAAACATATTAAACAAGAAACACAGAATGGGGGAGAGGGACTATTACAGTCGAGCAGATCTCTAGGAATACAGATACAGAGAAGGAGCCCCAACTTGGATTACCAGCCTCAGGAAAGCCTTCTTGGGGAAAGTGGCCTGGAAGGCCAGGCAGAGATGAAGCCCCGTCCAGAGGGAAGGAAAAGTGCAGTTGCAGGTAAGCATGAGGGAAGGCAGGCCAGGCCCAGCAGTGGATCTGCTGACACAGGAAGTAACAGACAGCTGAGCGGCATAACAATATAGAATCCATTGCTACAGATTCTTGAAGGTTTCCAAGTTGCCTCCTTGCTGTGGGAGTTCTGATGATTATGGAGTTCAAGAAGGGAATGCAAAATGTAACAAGTCTGGTCAGAAACAAAGAGGTATGGGGTTCCTTGAATCCTACAGGGGACACGTGGAAAAGCTGGGACCAATGTGAGCAGTTCATTCAAAGCAAGAATCAGCAGAACTTGACAATGAGGCACAAATGATAGGGATGGAAGGGTAGCAATTCTCATGTAAGATCGAGTGGTCCTCTCAAGTGTCTTTAAATCAGTGATTCTCAGAGTGGGGTTCCAGGATCCGCAGAACCTGCAACCTTGCTAGGAATGCAGATGCTCAGGCCCCATCAGCCCTGCTGTAGAAGACAGGAGGTGCAGTCCAGCACTGTTCCCAGAAGACTTCTCAGGTGGCTGATGTCTGCTGAAGAGTGACATCACTTCAGCCATCCTCCTTTCAAACGGCTCCCGTCAGTGCCAGGGCGGGGATGTGGACAGCACTGAGTTCCTTTCCCTTCCTCTTCACAGATGCCTCCTGTGGCCCGGATCTCTGTGAAAGCTCCAGCTGCAGTCGAGGCAGCAGCCTCAGGCTCAGAGAACGGAGCTGTTCTAGGGAGAGGGTAAGTACCGTGACTTCTGTCTCCACACCTGCCCGGTTCCCTATGCAGGCCTGCCCTGGCCTCACATGAACAACAGGCAGCCCGGTTTGCAGACCCAAGATAATAAAGCAAAGCCCATGCCAGCTGCAAATTACCTTGAAACTAGGGCTGTAATTCTGGGTCTGAGTAGTGCCTCATCAACTGTTTCCCTAGGATTAAGCTGAAGTGTTTTTCATGGTTTCCACTTCATTAACGCCATTCTTTAGGCTTGGAAAAATGTCATTTGGGAGGATATTTAGTTATTGGATGAATGTCTCCACAGGCCATGTTCACAATCTCCAATTTATGTGAGGTCAGAAATGTTTCATGAATTCATTTAGGGGTCTCTGTCCACAGGGAAAGAAGTACAGACATTTCAAAACAAACTAGAACCCAAACATGCATGTTAATTCTGGCCCAGAGCCAGCAGCTGGGACAGCAGGAGTTCCCCCAACACCCCCTCACTGGCTTCAGTCAGTAAGACATCAATAATGTGCAACTCAACATGAACTTTTCTGACCTGCTCTACTGCCCGCCACACTGCAGATGCAGCCGGGTGGTTTAGGAAATGGTAAAGGGTGTGAATTCTTGGCTCATCTGCTTTCTATCATGACACTGCCACCAACTCAGACTTAAGAAAAGTTATATAGTCTTCTTCATCTCATCTATTTTAAAACAAATAGAAAAATAGGAAAGAGTAGCTGTTCTTGAGAGGTTTTTGTGAGAATTGAATGAATCATGTATAGAGAGCTTAGCTTAAACTATTGTCAATATTTTTCAGGAAATTTAGCCCAATAGTTAGGAAACTGTGTACTTGAGAAAGTATTCAGTGTACATAGGAAAAACCACAGACTAAAATATCATCTTAGTCCATTTTGTGTTGCTAATAACATAATACCATAGAGTCATACAGGAGAGGATTATTTGGCTCACAGACACCTCTGGCCCAAGGTGGAGAGGAGGTATCTGGTGATATCAGAAAAAGGCAGCCTCCTAAGGCATAGGGTGTTGCATGGTGATAGACACGGAGCACATGAGAGACCTGGCTGAGCTGTCTTTTTATAACCAACCTGTTCTCAAGATAGCCCATTTACCCATTTACCCATTATCCACACGACTGTTTCATTCATTCATGAAGGCAGAATCCTATGCACCTCCTAAAGATCCCAGCTGATCACACTTCTTAATATCCCATAATAGGGATCATATTTCAACATGAGTTTTAGAGGGGACAAGGTGTATTCAAATCACAGCAAATATCAGTGCCAGGGGTGCACACTCAATACTGTGGGACTCAGAGCAGAATAGAGCAGAGTGGAGCACTTCTGGATAATAGAAGTTGCCTGGAAAGAAGCATAAAAACCAAACTATATGTCATTCATCATACTGGAGCTTAACTGGAGAAAAGTTTTTTAAAAATCATTTGACTTTTTTGAGGTTCCAGTAGCAAATTATTCTTAAATCCCAGTAGCTGCCTCCTTGTATAGATCAGCAAGACATCATAGTACCTTGGTAGAGGCTGGTCTTTTCACATTCTGATGGCTGCACTGCAAAGGGTTCTCCGTGGCTCTTTTCTGTCTGAGTTCAGTTTGCTCCTGGATCTTGGGCAGTGAAAAGAAAATACTGTCATTTTGTTCACCTTAAGATAGCATATGGGGGAATAAATGAACATCTATGGAGGGTCTACAATGTGCCAGATGTTTTATTATCTCATTTTCCTCTTCACAAAAGCCCTAGGTATTTGATGAGAGCATCTGTGTGCTATGCAAGAGAAAACAGGCTGGTGAACACTAAGTCACCTGCTTGAAGTTACACAGTAAGCAGAAAGCAGAATTCCACACCAGAGCTCATGCTCCTTTCAATGGCTGATTTTTTGGGGCATCTGCTCTTTCTGGAAGAACTGCTCACATGGACGTGACTGTGGTGAGAAAGTAGAGGTTTGAGCAAGGCCAGACCCAGAAAAGGGAGGCAGGAACAGGACTTAAAATCCCATGAACCACGATGCTCAGGGTCACCACTTCCCCTACTTTATGGAAAGCTCCCCTAGGGGACATCCTATGTAGGTCCCCACACTGACTCTCCAGCTATGCAGAGCCTCATCACAGGACAGAGATATAGAGGAAGACAGAAAATTCTGCCTACTCATTTCAAAGACAAAATGTAAGTGTGGCTCACCATCCCCACCTAACCCTGGCTTTTCTTTAGATCCAGACACCTTAAGAAGATGGCCGAAGAATATCCAACCCTCCCCCAGGGAGGGGAGGCCTCCCTCCCACTGACAGGCAGCGCTTCCTGTGGTGTCCCAGGCATCCTCCGGAAAATGTGGACCAGGCACAAGAAAAAATCAGAATATGTGGGAGCCACCAACAGCGCCTTTGAGGCTGACTAAAGATGACCCTTCCCAGGTTCCTTGCATTGGCCAAGGTTCACAGGACAAGGGAAGACAGAAATCTGAAGACTAGGACTGAGCCACACTCACCTCTCTTGGCAGTTGGTCCAAAAACATCATCTTCCCTCACCAGCTAATCACCCTGGTTCAGGGCACAAGAAAGGGGCGTGTCTGGAAGGCAAAAGGAAACTGTTATTAAGAATGGTTGAAGCCATTGGTCTGAAAGTTGCTTTAGGAGGTCTTAAAGTTTGTATCCCTATCTTTAGGAGAAGCTACACTAAAATCAAACTTTCCCAGCCCATCTTAAAGACCTCCAAAGAAAGAAAAAGGCAATTCTTCTGTCTTCATTGTCAGTTTTTCCGAAATGTATGATTTCTGATGTAAAAGCCTGACATTTGAGTAGCTTGTCGACCCAGTGATTCTCCTTTTTGCCATTTCATGTTTGGTTCACCTTGATGAGATACAATTTTTAAGGACAAAGCACTATGTACTTACTTAGTAGTTCTGTTTACTTGACAGTATCATTAAGATCAATTTTGAAGATCATCCGGCATGATTGCATGAATTCTATATTCTTTTCTGTGTAGTTTTTCTATGGAAAAACATTAATGTTCTTGTTTTCTTACATAAGTTAGTAAAACAAATAACACCATGCTTTTGTACAATAATTTTAACTTCTGAAAGTGATTTTCCATCTATTATCTCTGCTTATCATGACAAAACCCCCATTGAAGAAAGTATTGTCATCCCCAGTCTACACATGGGAAAAATGAGGCATCTGGAGGTTATATCACTAGAAGTAGAACTGGCTACCAGACACTAGTAGGTTACAAGGCTAGTTAGTAGAACTAGTTACCAGGTCCTCAATTTCTTTCTAGCAGACTCCCTTCTCTGCTTACCTAGCAACTGACACAAGGCAGTTTACAAATTATAGGATCATGTCTCGGGGGCATCATTTGAAGAGAAGAACCTGATAAAGTTGGAATAAGTAAGTGATTTGAATGAAATACATAATTCATTGGATTGAACCAGAAGAAAGTGCCATTTCTGTAGATCAAAAACAACTGAATATTCACTTCAAATGATTCAACCTAACGTATGATACTTTCCTCCCTTCAGTGGAAATGTCATTATCAATTTCATTGTCAACATCAGTAGCCTGAAAATGATTATGTTAAAAACACTAACAATATCTATCGTGTATTAAATGCCTACTGTGTGCCAGGTGTGATACTGGGCACCTTGCATAAACTGTCCTAATCTTCCAGAGTTAATCTTCCTTTCCTAATCTGCTCTGAGTTAGGTAGCCTTACCAGTTTCAGACCTTGACAGTAATTCAAGGAGGTTAAATAACTAGTCTGAAGGCACCTAACTTATATTAACTTGAAGCTTCAATGCCTGGGTTATATCTACTCCTTCACACAAGATAGTTCAGAACATAGCGAAGGATTTAAATTAGTAAAGAATGCTCATCTCAACACTAGAGATGCTGTGTGGAGAAGAAATCTGGGGTGGAAAAGCACAGTGATCAATAAGCAATGCCTCTCTGTGGAAGGGATTAGTGAAACAGGTCTTGTATATTTGTCATCTGTGACCTGAAATCTACCCACAAAAGGCTTGTTTTCTATTTAAGAGATTTAAATTGTTTCAACATACATAATGAAGCTAGAAATTTTCATTAAAGTGAGATTTAGCTTAGGACTGCATTGGAAATTGCCATCTCTTGGTAAAAGCAGAATTTGATCATTCTTGCTCTCAGACATAAATGATATTTTGATTGCTGCTCTGTGGCCAGGTCTTGCCTTCTGCTCTCTCCAGGTTTCCTGTTTCTGCATCTCCAGGTGAACTGTAAGAAGGCATGAGGAAGTACAAAGGGCCTGGACATCAGGCTTTCACCTTGCTGATATCTGATCTTTATCACTCTTTTAGACTCTGAGTATCTGATGCTACTATCCAAAAATGATTTGGAGATGGGCACCAAGTGCTTTTTCAGTGAGGAGCTAGAGGGTGGGGTCCAGAGCAAAGCTAGGGAGCAAACAGGAACCTATGCTGAGTCTCCTACAACTACTTACGTTAACTTATTACTGATATCTTTTATTTGTATGTGGCAACTGGAGCTTTATATAGAATAGAACAAACATATTTATTTTAACTTGAATAAACAGTGAAGTGTTTGCCTTGTGCAATACATTTTATTGGCTAACTCAAATAAAAATAAGGTCGGTTTTGTGTCTGACATTAATAAACCACTGAAAAAGTATGTCTGAGACTCCCTCATTGAATGAGAGGAAGATTTTCACAAAGGGAAAGAATTGTGTACTGGATCTCATTGACCCTGGAAATGAGAGAAATGGTAAGAAAGAATCAGCATGTTGTTTCCATCCTAAGGCGATATCTGGTTTTGATATTACAAGTGCTTCCCAGCCGTTACCACCAGAGCCTCTGCTAACAGGCCTCAGGCTGGACTGCCCATCCTCCCAGAGATCGCCCTCTTTCCTTCTGATGAGACCCCATGGTCTGCACCGCAAACCTCAGAGAGCCCAGTGGCCATCCCAAGCTTGCTGGCCTCTCCCTCCTGATGAAGAAAAATGCAGGCATCCTCCTGTGTGCCCACCTAGTGTTCAGCCTCAAGGAGACTGCCTCAGTGACTCATGTCACAGCCACTTGCAGAAGGACGCCAAGGCTCGCTACAGATGGAATGATCAAGCTTGGAAGCTTCTTGCGCCAGAGGCAACAAGATTTTCAGGACATTTAGGGTAATAAAATTGCCTCTGTTAGGACCAAGGCCAGTCAAATATTTCAGTTCTTACTTAGCACTCCCTGGCAAGGCTCCCACCCCACCCAGCACCAAGGTTGCCTGTTGAGCTGGCAGATGGGCAGTGGGTAGGAAAAGCAGCACTAGCCAGAGCCCAATTTTAAAAGAAATCATGTGACATGTTGTCTCTGACATTAAATTGGCATAGACCGAAGGACAAGTAAGGGAACATATAGGCAAAGATGATTCTCTTAAGGATTAGAATTTGCATGCTGTTTTTAACTTCTTATCAGAATGCCAGCCTTCTCCAAGAGGTTTGTGTCAAATATATTATGATGATGCATAGGGAAAGAGAGCTTGTTTTTCAGATCAACCCATGTGCCTGGACACTTATTTTTTATTTTGTCATATTGGACTGAGTCAAGACTTATAGCTATTAACATGCTTTGTTGGGAGGGAGCAGTGGAGTTGGGAAAAGTAGGAGAAGGAACCTGACACTCAGGACCACCACTGAGAGTAGCTGAGCCTGTGCCGGTCATGTTCCTGTCCCCTTGTGGGGCTGTAGAGGAGCTCAGTCCCCCCTGGCCCTTTGAACGTTCCCCCAACCCCAGCTTCTCAAGACCTAGACAGTCCTGGAGCCCCAAGTGCTGAGTTCCCATTTTTGGGCACAGATGCCATGATGAATCCCTCTTTTCCCAAGAGACCAGGGGTTTACTTAGCAAAAGGAGACCTGTGCTTTTCCAGAAGGATAGGGTATCAGGGTCCTACCAGCCTCAAATACACAGGGGGACCTGGAGTTCTGGACAAATGCTCACCAGCATTTGGGGTCTCTGTCCACAGAAAAGCAGAGTTATGTATTCAACTGCCTGAGTCACAGGTTTTCTTCTATGAGAAATTCACTTTAATGTTAACTAACTCTGGCTCATGTCAGACTCCACTGGGCTGGGAATTCTGCCCAACCAAGCAATTGGGTATTTGTTGGGGGCTGGGAAGACTCTTTTAAGACACAGAATTTTCTAGAATTACAAATGCCACAAGTAGTGCTCTAGAGGTGACCACATTCTCCAGGTGACAATATTCAAATAAAGGACAAGAGGCATAATAAAGAACTAGAGGCACTACAAACTATGGAGATCACCTCTTAATGTCACTCAGGGCTGGAACTGAACCATGAGTGAAAATAGGCAATTTGTCAGTGATGTGCCACTATGCCACCTTCACACACACACACACACACACACACACACACACACACTCACATCTTTCTGTTTTTTTACTGATTTCCCTATACCAAGAGCCTTGATGGAACCTGAGCCTTCGCAGTATCCTCGGCCTGCACAGACTCCTACCTCCTCCATGCAATTTAGGGTCCCCAGTGCTCTGAATTCTGGATAAAAGAGCTTGAGATACTGCAGGACATTATAGAGACTCTGTTTCCTCAGTAACCAAGGTGAAAATGTGACATCTCTCTCTAAATGTCCTAAAAAAAATCAATCAGGCTGCCAAATAGGCACGAATATGCACAGGCATAAAAACACTAGAGCACTTCTCTACTGGGTAGTAATGGCTAATGCCCAGAATTTCCCCCAAACACCTCCACTTTCTGGCCCTGGTTGCTCAGCCCTCCCTTGGGACTCTTGCTAACCTTCTTGTAGACCAACACCTATGGGTAATACCTGACACAGTGGAGGAGAGGGGTCTCAGGGCTCTCACCCAGCACTGTAACCCATCTTTGTTCTAATTGATAATTTGTCCATATTCTGCCAGCAGTTAACACTTTAGATGTCCTCCTAGACACAATGTATTTGAATGTACCTGTCTTGTAAGCTGAAATATTAACCATATAAATATTAGGTAGAACAAGGTATGGAGGTGTTACCTCTCCACTGCCGTCAGTCACTTATATGTAAGGCTCTAAGGCTTAGAGTAAGTAGAATAGAGATGAGCTTTTCATTTTTTGTTTGTTTGTTTGTTTCCTTTTGAAGTTCAGAGGATTGAATCCAGAGCTTTGCACATACTAGGCAAGCACTCTATCACTGAGCCACATCCTCAGCCTGAGACAAGGTTTTCCCAGCAAATGGAAGGTAAGATGAAAGGAGGTATATAGGGCTGACAGAGGGAAAAGTTGGGTGCTTAAGTCGTAGGAAACTACAAACTACATCTTCCACTTGGACCAGAGCCTTACTTATCCCCCATGAGCATTATAAAATTCAAAATGCAACTAACCAGAAGCATATGTCTTTTATGAAGGAGATATGAAATGGTCCTTACAGGTGGTCCTGAACAATCTCACTACTCAATCTAATAACCATGGACCTCCGTGGACCGTGTAGGATGGTAAGAATGAGTGAGTACCAGACTCATGGGCAAGAAGCTTGAGACCCAGTCCTGAGAGAGAGACAGAGAGGGAGACAAAGACAGAGACAGAGAGACAGAGACAGACAGAGAGACAGAGACAGACAGAGAGAGACAGAGAGACAGAGACAGAGACAGAGACAGAGACAGAATATGTTGGTCAAACTACTTGAGTTTCTTTGAACCTCTGTTTTGCCTCAACTTTGGACATGAATTGAATTACCTACCCAGTCAACCTCACAGGCTGGTGAAAGATCTGAAGTGAGTTGCTGCAGAAAAGAGCTTTGTAAACTGTGAATTGTTCCTGTAACATATGGTGTTATGATTACCCACTCCATTCAGAAAGAAGCAGAGCTGGCCATGGGGAAAAGTGACTCAGGCAGCTCAAGACAGGAGTGAGGGCTGAAGAGCTAGTCAGAGACTGAAAATAGAATTGTTTTCAGACCCTGAGGGCCTGGCTGCGAGGGCCAAGCTTCTCAGCAGCTGACAGGCAGGGCTCCCTCCCACTTGCTGAGCTCCAGGGCCCATACCTGCTCCTGCCTATTGCACATGAGTCAGTGCTTGCAACCCAAGGTGGCCACATGCCCTGCTAGGTCAGTACAGACCAGTGGGCCTGGTCACAAACAAAAAATGGAAGGTGGTAACTGTTCCCTTGAATTCAAATGACTCTCCCCAGAAGCTGTCTGCTTGCTGCCAAATGCCGCTCTTGGCCTCCTGCCTGCATTCCCTACCAGAAAATTAGCCCTCAGATGAAACTTACGAAGCACATTGGCTCCAGGGACTACAGGCCCTGCCTGCATGCCCCAGCCCAGAAGAGGCAGGCTGGCCTCTGCCCATCCTCCCTCGCTGGGCTCCTGCCCCTCCATTCTGAGGCAGATGACAGAGCCAGTGAACACAAGACTGAAGCACTGTGAGGGATGGGGTCTGGTGACAAGTTGGTCTGGTTGGGTGTAACCAGGCAAAGAGTCAACATTTCACAAACACAACACCACCAAAGCATTTCTACTGTTTCCTCAGGCCAAGGAAAGCAAGGTAATAACTCAAGGAATAGTGACCTCACCGGGAAAGCAGTTCTACACACAAACTCCACAACCCCAAATAACCCAGGAGTTTTGTGTGTCATAAAAAGTCCCAAAGGACAGTGCCATGCAAAATGAGCAGGTGCCAGTGTGGAAGCAGGCTGGCAGAAGAGACAGAGCTGCCATCCTCACCTCGCTATTTGTTGCAACCACCATCCCAAGGCTGAGGGGTGGCCCTGGAGGGACTTCGGTCTTAGGGACTTACTTCTTGATACCACATAAGGAAACCAGAGCAAAGCCTAATCTCTTCACCAACTGGGCTCTTTAGGGCTCAGCTCAACGCTTGCCCAGCAAGCTGCTTCCAGCCGCTGGGAGCTGGGTGCTCTTGTGAAGCTACATTTCCCCATCTGCTACTTGTTCTTCCTAAGAATGTGGTGAGAGCTGGAGATTAGAAGGAAAGAGGAGTGAGAAGGGATGCCTGCATGTTCTGGTTATGTATTTCCTGCTCCTCTAGTCTAAGAAAAAGAAGGAAAGAAGCCACCCCCATCTCTGAACCATGTAGATGCACCCTAGACATCCAGAACCATGTGCCAGGATCCACCTGAAGCCTAAGCTAAACCTAAACATCCTCCGGGCCCTCCAGTTGGCTGTGGTGGATTGCTTTACGGCAAGGTGAATGCAGCTATATTAGCTGGGGCTAACTTTTATTGTTTATAGGTTCAGTCCTTAAAATATCTCAGATCATGTGATTCTCCAACAGCATGGTTCTTCCATTTGCCCTAAGAAGTGTAGAAACTCCTTCAGTGTTTCTGATCAGGAGCACAGCTTTTTTGCTGAAAGAAGTATTGCCTGTGGCTCTAGGGAGGCCCAGGCAGGCGCTCTGCCAGCCGTTATTCAGCAGGTGAGATGATTGTGAAAGACAGTGGTTCAGTTGTCATCCCAGTGTCCCGGGCAACAGTATAAACAGTGTACAGTCAGTCGTATTATAGGTCAACGCGCTGGCCTCCCTCCCATAAAATCCCCTGTGGCATTTGTGGTGGGAGGAGGCAGAGCTCAGAGAAAACAGATGGGTATCTTTCTGGAAGACTTTCTCTAGCCAGGTAATGTTTCTAGTCTCTTATGACACATGAA